ACCTCAAACAGAAAGGAATGCAGCCAGTCCTACCTGGCACCCAGCTGTCTTCCTTTGTTAAACACAAAACGTCCTGACAGCCATATGGGGGTGAGGGTACTTGTTGCTCTTCCTCTGGGGCTCCTATGGGCACAATGGTTTTTCAGTCTCCAGAAGGGTTTCTCCCTACTCTCCTGGAGTATCTCCCTCCAGCCTGCAGCAGAGACCCTGTGGTTTATAAATTGCCCCCATCGTTTTCAGCATCTCTCTGGTGGGGTCTCCCGTGGATGTGACCCTGGAGCTCACATTGGTGCAAAGAACCCTTGCCAACATCTTACACGCCACACACGCAGTTAAGTATCCACTTTCCTGTCATCCATGGGGAAAGGGGGTCAAGTTCTCCTTCCTATGGGAGTGGCTCGATACCTGGACTAGAAGACCCCCAGCAGCTCCTTTAAAAAAAAAACAAAAAGGCTAAAAACTTTCTCCATGTCCCCAGCCCCTACTCCCTGCACAAGCTTCTCTTTCCGTAGCAGCATCGCGGGAGGCAGACCAGGGGGACAGGCTTGCTCTGAGCCCATGAGTCTCCCTCTCCTCTCCGGAGGCTGGAAGCACGGAGCCCACAGGAGCCCCCGCATCGCTGCCTCTCCTGTTGGAGGCGGAGCGCAGCGTCCTCTCCCAAGCAGCAGCCGCGGCCCTCAATTGGAATTCTGTCCCCAAAAGGGGGCCGGAAAAGGAGGAGAGAAAGGAGGGATGGAAGCCGGCAGCGAGAAGCCGCGTCCAGGGTCCCGGACAGCCCCAGGAAGAAGCTAAGCGTGTCGGCTGCTAGGAAGCTGCACCGCGGCGCCCCACCGCACTGCATCAGCGTGGCTCTGCTGACATCCCCCCATGCTTAACACGGGGCATTATGCGCTGGTTAACAGGCTCCGAGCTGCTCAGCGACTTGTTTTAAGCATTTTCTCCCTCGCTCTCGCTTTTAATCTTGTCTCTAGTGGCGTGTGTAGGGGGGAGGACTTTATTTCCATTGGCTAAGCGCTCCCTTCCCACCCACATCCCTTCCACATCACCTTGGTGTCTCCCTAAATAAAACCAGCCCTCCTTATCGCCTGGAAAAAATCAGGAGCTAGAGTTTGAATGGGTTTTATATAAACACTCACCCCTGTCAGCGTGAGGCCAGGCTCTCAGGATAAACTCCCAGTGTCTGGCCTGATGCTTGCCTGGCGATCTCTGCCTTGAACGCCAAGGTTTAAAGCAGAATTCAGAGGACTGGGAACTCTTCCCTGAGATTTGATCAACCTGAAGCCAGTTGCGGAACTGCACAGGGTCCCGATGGACCTGAAGGAGAGCCCCAGCGAGGGCAGCCTGCAACCTTCCAGCCTCCAAATCTTCGCCAACACCTCCACTCTACATGGCATCCGCCACATCTTCGTGTATGGGCCGTTGACCATCCGGCGTGTGCTTTGGGCAGTAGCCTTTGTGGGCTCCCTGGGCCTGCTGCTGGTCGAAAGCTCTGAAAGAGTGTCCTACTACTTCTCATATCAGCATGTTACCAAGGTGGACGAGGTGGTGGCCCAGAGCCTGGTCTTTCCAGCTGTGACCCTCTGCAACCTCAATGGCTTTCGGTTCTCCAGGCTCACCACTAACGACCTGTACCACGCTGGGGAGTTGCTGGCCCTGCTGGATGTCAACCTGCAGATTCCTGACCCGCATCTGGCGGACCCCACAGTTCTGGAGGCCCTGCGACAGAAGGCCAACTTCAAACACTACAAACCGAAGCAGTTCAGCATGCTGGAGTTCCTGCACCGGGTAGGCCATGACCTGAAGGATATGATGCTGTACTGCAAGTTCAAGGGCCAGGAGTGTGGACACCAAGACTTCACCACGGTGAGTACTTGGTTTTCAGTTCGCTCTTGTGCTTACTCTTCAGTAGAAGTGCTGTGCTGGTGGCACTGGGGACCTTCTGTTTGGCTTGGGGGTCTCTGCTGTGCAGGGGAGAGGGCAGAGACCCAGCTGAAGCCCAAGAGGGTAGCTGAGGAGAGGTGTTGGACCTGTGTGTAGAAAAGGTTACCTGCCGGATGAGTACTGTGGTCCTTTCAGGTTGGAGAGCTACAGGGGGCTTGCTCTTGGGGTGTTGCTGAGTTGGGCTTCCTTCCAGTCAGAGGGAGGAGGCCTGGGCTGTCCATTGTCCAGGGTGCTTGATGTCCGAGCTGTGTGACAGGAACAGCTTGTCATTGGTGAGATGGCATCCTTTCCTCTCTCTTTCTCTCTCCCTCTCTCTCCCTCTCTCTCTGTGCTCGGAAGTGGAAGTGGCATCAGGCTCTGCATCCTGTGGGCTGGGCTGGAGCTAAAGCTGTCACAGGAGGGGGTGTGGGGCCCCAGACAGCCTGAATGGCTCCGGTGGCTGTGGGAGCTCCCTGAGCAGGTGATGCTGCAGAGGTGTGGAAGGCTCCTTCCTTCCTTTTCTTGCCTGAGTAGTGTGGAAAGGAGAGGACCCCCCCCCCCCCGCAGCTCCATCTGGTTCTCCTGCAGGCAGGGTGAAGCTGTGAGCTAGCTGTCCATGATGCTTGGCCAGAGAGGAGAATCAGGGTAGAGGCTCCTGTAGAGGGTGGGAGGAGATCACAGATGTGGTGAGGAGGTCCCGGAGGCTGGCTTGTCTGGGAGCTTTAGCTTGAAACTCGAAGGCTCGTTTTCTCTGTGTACAATTGCTTCACAACGGCAACGTGGGTGCAGGAGGAGGGTGTGGGGAGGGGGGCGAGCAGCTGTGGGATTGGAAAGCCTGGAGGGGAGTGTGGAGCTGAGTAAAGAGGAGGGGACGTGTCTCACGTTCACGATGGGTTTGCCAGAGGGGGCTGAGAGGGAAGGATGGGAGCAGATCTGTTGCCGCTAGGGTTCTCAGCCCAATTAGTGGACCGCTAGGTATAACTTGGTGTAACAGGTCAGACAGTAGCTGCCAGCTATTCCACACTGCCAGGCAAGTCTGGGGTATCAGGAACTGTGGGCTCCTCCTGCAGTCCAGTGTATCTGCTTTCCCCACCGCTTCCTGGGGCAGGGGAAGGAGAGCTTCAGGGACCCAGATTCTTGAGCCAAAATGCAGCGACAAGTTGGGGTGGCAGGTGCAGCAATCATCAAGGGAACCGGACTGTGTCGTCAGCACTTGTCTGGGGTGCTCTGCTTCATTATAAGACATCCCCCCCCCTTCCCGTAGTGCAACCCTCCCCACCCCTCTCAGAGCCACCTGCCTCTTGCTCTGAGGTTCTCTTTATGTTCCAGCCAGTCTCTGCGTTCATCCTCTGCACTTGCTGCTGTTGGCCGTCTCTCATTCTGAAAGAGCCCAGAGTGCCAGGGGCATTGCCTCTCACAGCCCGTGTGCTAGAGCTGTTTCCTGGGGGAGCCGTTTTGTATTATTATCCCTTTTAAACATTCCAAGGAAGAGCACAGCCCAACTGACAGCAGCATTTGCTAAAGATGAAGCCAGTCTGAGCTGGAGAAGGAAGCGGCCAGCCCTTCTTAAAGGAGCAAACAGGATCCTAAAATATGTCATGCACAAATGATGTCTGAGGGGCCTTGGGGAGGGATGGGAAAAATGCCTCGTTCTTGGAGGCTGAAACCATCACTGTGTTCCAGCCCATGCTTTCTAGTGCCTGGCAACGCTCAGCCTCATTGCTGTACTGAGAAGCTTGAATGTGCGTTCAGCTCTTCCTCTGTCTGCCTGCACACACGGAACCCACAGACAACAGATGCAGGGTGCCTCAGGGAGGCTGTCCTGGGCAGCAGACCCTGGGATGAATCTTCAAGCACAGTCAAAAGCATCCTCGTGATGGTATAGCTGACTGGTAGCTATGATCATGCCCAAGTTCCCTTTAGAAGCAGAGGCTTGTTGACCTCAGGCTGCTTGTTTGTATTTGGCCCATCATTTGAATTTCTGGTATCCCAAGCCACCCAAAGTCAGGTCTTAAATCCTTACCTGAGCTTCAGACCCTCTGAAACACTGAAGTTGCCTGCAGACAAGGCTGACACTTTGATTAGTGGCGTACATTATCTGTCAATCTCAGCAAATCCTAGATTCATCTGTTTGAGTGCCCATCCTTGGATTAGCCCCTCTTGTGTGTAACATCTCTAAGGGCTGAAGAGAAGGAGGCCCTTGATGTTCTCTTCTGTCTGTTCAGGGATGTCAGGATGCCACTCACTTTAGGTGTGTGATAGGAAGCTGGTCTTCACCACTGGGCGACAGTGGGCACCCATGCCAGCCTCTGTTGGGGGTAATACAATAGGGAACACATTCAAGACCCCACATTGAGGAGCAAACCTCTGACACACTTTTGTGCTTTTTGGAACTTGGGTGTAGGCAAGCTTTTCTTGGGCTTTTACATCATCAGTGAGCCTATGTAGCTGTTGGAGAAGCCTGTGTCTCAGCCTCCTCTCTCATTCTGGGATGGTCGTCCCTCCCCAGTGGGCTTTCTTATAAGAACCCTGCTGGGGGTTGTGACACACCGGGTGCCTTCTCATGGCTGACTTATTAGAGAATTTAAGTGTTAGGGATGCTCTTTTTTTTTTCTGAATTTGATTTTTCTATAAAGCCCAGAGCATCATCTCCAGGGCAAATGCTGTAGCACTAGCTCCCTTATTCCAAGTTCTTAGCTGGTGTGCAATGAAGTGTGTAATACCCTTTAATTAGTGAATGAGCTGTGATTCTAGCAGAGTGAAAGAAGGTTGTTCATGGAGACTCAAAGTCCCCAGGAAGCCAGGTGTGGAACGCTGAGTGCCAACTAAGCAGGCGTGCTCCCTGCCTGTGCAGATAGACCCTGAGCCCTCTCCCGGGAACAGTCTGGCTGCAGAGGGGTCTGTGGATTCTCCTCCCCGGTAAACCATAAGAAAGATTTAATTCTGGTCCTTCTATTCACAGCAGATGACTCCAGTGACCCAGAGTAGAAAGGAGCTGACGTGGGAGTTGATGGGGCTTGTGAGTCTGTGATTTGAGTCCAAGGCCAGTGTGGTAGGCATGGGTTTGAAGCCCTGAACCATGCTATTCTTGCTTCTTTGTGCCCTTGCATGCTCTCGAGATGGGCACTCACTCACCTAACCTTGACCTTCTAACCCACAGTATTGTTGGAGGGAAGAGCATGGGAGACACCATGTGAGGAAGCCTTCTCTGTTTTAGCCAGCTGTATAGAACTGTGGGGGTTCTTCGCAGGATTTGGAACAGGGTTTTTGTTGTCCCGCCTGCCTCCACTGTTTTTCAGGCATCAGATTGATGAGGGATGCTGCGAAGATGAGGACAGCAAGGTGGGAGGGCCACTGCTTTCTCTGGTGAAAACTTATCCTCCAGAGAGGGAGCCGCTTCGAGTGGAGGATGTCCTGTCGGAATCGGAGCTGACTATTGCTGTCATTTCCGATTAGCGTGTGACAAGACCTTATGTTGTCTCTTTGCTTAGTCACATTGGGGTTCACCTGCGTTCAGGTCCAGGAATGTGAATGACTGCTCCGTTTTCACACTTAGCCTGTCCATCACTGTGGGTATTTGCGCTTTCAATGTGAGCTTTCTTAGGAAAGACTTGGCTTTCTTTCCCGAACTGAATGGATCTTACTATCCTACAACATATAACATTATAAAGATGGTGGAAGTGGAGGCTGAGGAAGGTTATGTCTTTGGGGTGCTTTGACAAGGTCACATAGCTCTCTAATCACACCTCACTACCAAAGAGTATGCATGAGGAGGATATGGGCGTTGAGAAACAATCTGAGCTGGGATTCCAACTCTATGGCATATACGTGGTGGGAACTAGCACTAGTTTGCTTAGCTCCAGTTTTCCCATCTCTAAAGTAGGACCAGTAACACCCACGGCTCAGCTGGAGGTGGGGCTTACTCTGTGTGGTACCCCACAGGCATTGCTAACTGAACTTGAATGCCACTCTTCCCAATCTTTCTAGCCTGTGACCGCAGCAGCATCAGAACACAGGTACCTACTGTGTTCTTTGTTTCCAGGGCTCCCCATTTTGCTTGGTACCCTGAACATTGTCTCGTATTCACTGTCTTGGTCTCCATGTTGTATCTCATACTTCCTAACTTGCCTCTAGGAAGCACACCCGGCTTCAGCCCCTGGCATGGGTGGAGTATGCTCTCCACCACGTGTATCGTAGCTTTTCTCACTGTGTACCATGTTTATGTCTGTATGGTTATCCCTTTGTCTATCCGCAGTGCAGCAATAATCCAAGTAGACCAGGTCTGGGCTATCACAATCCGTCTCTATCCCTGCCATCCTGGGGATAGTCTCAGAACAGATTTTGCTAATATTGTGTTAAGTAGAGGGCCTCACAACCCTGCCAATACCAGACAAAGCCTCACTGGTTTAGTTGCTATCTGTCTCTGAATTTAGCCACAGTCCTAGCTCATGGGCCTTTCTTACTCTCTGTCTTTTGTGCCCTACCTTGTTGTATCTTTCAATGCTTCATTGCTTTCAAAATCTAGCTGTGTCATAACTGCAGCCTTCTCCCTCCACAGTACCACCATCTAAACTCCCCCCTTCCTCCTCTGTCTTCTAAGAATCACATACCTTACCTGCCCTCGGTGCAGACATGACATGATGCTTTCCCTTCTGGGAGAAGCATGAAGTGTTGTCAGTAAAAGGGACCTTGGAGATAAATGAATTCAGTTACTAAGTTTTTTTTTAAACACTGACAGTTTTTTAAATTTGTTTTCAAATTGATAGAAAAATGTAGATGCTATGATGTGTAGCCTGATGCTATATACATTCATATATATTACTTACATATATAGATGGTTGTATTAAGCAACTTAGGACATACATTACTATGTGTGCTTATCTTCTCTGTGTGTGTATGTATGTATGTATGTATGTTGAGAATGTATGAAATCTAAAATCGCT